CAAAGCAACAACACTCCAACCTCAACCCCCACCACTCAAGTTATACCTCCAGTAACACCCGCTAACCCTCCAAATCCTCCTATTCACACTCCCTATGTACCACAATATCCTCAGACATCACAGAACCCGCCTATTACCACTAATGCAACTACCCCTCCTCGTGACCGATTCACTTTCACCACCAACCACCACATACCCATGGCACATGCCGCTACTCATGAGCGGTACGCTCCCCCTATATATGCCGTTACCAAACCTTCCTTTACGGTCAAGGTGCCATATGAGATCAATCAATACGCCGAGATGGAGAGAGAAGCCAGGCATAAGGAAGAAGAAGAGTCGGTATCTGAGCAGTTGCAAATGTTTAGAAGACAAATGAAGAGTCTCCAAGTTGCCCGAGGAAGTGAAAGCTTGGATTATGAGGACTTGTGTATTCGCCTAGATGTGGATATGCTAGTAGGATAAACCTCCAAAGTTCGATGTATTCGATGGGATAGGGGACCCTCACATGCATTTAAGGGCTTATTGCGACAAGTTGATCGAAGTGGGGAGAAATGAGAAACTAAGGATGAAATAGTTCATAAGGAGTCTGACGGGGAAGAACTCACCTGGTATAGTTGATAAGACCCGCGAAATTAGAGAACTTGGCAAGATATGGTAGAGGACTTCATGAACCATTTTTGATTCAATACAAAAATCACTTCTCATCAGTTCGCGCTGGTGAACCTACAAAAAAAACCATCTGAGTCATTTCAAGAATATGCACGATGGTAGAGGACGAAAGCTGCCAGGGCGCAACCGCCGCTGAACGACAGTGAACTAACCAAGTGCTTCATCCAAGCCCAAGAGGAAATATACTTTGAAAAGATGATGGGAATGATGGTTCAAGAGTTCCCCAAGCTGGTTAAGATGAGAGATTTCCTAGACGAGGGCAAATAGTCTGGTAAGGTGCAATATATAGCAGCACTGCAAGCGGCCAGCAAGGCCATCCAGTCAGGATCGACCGGTAGTGGAAAGAAAAAGAAAGAAGAGGTCTCAGTAGTCATCCCCTACTATCAAACTAACACGTCTCTTGGAAGCACCTCGTACTCCCCAAACAACCACTAACCACTACCCACTTAGGCTCCAGTCTATAATACCCAGCCATACTACCACCCTTCACCATAATACAACCCTCCTCGAGCCAACAAAACCAAAACCCACGACGACCATATATTCCTGTCCAAACCACTACTCACCAAAATCAACCTGTGTATGCACCACGTCCTCGTCCTAACTTTGAAGAGAGGGTTCCTAGAACTTATACCCCGATTGCTAAGCCTCTGGACCAATTGTTTGAAAGGTTGAGAAGAGCAAGATTGATACACCCAATTGAGGGAAGAGTTCCTGAACATCCCTCCAAATATTTTGATGCCACTAAGAGATGCGTGTATCATTCCAATGTACCGGGGCACGATACTGAAGGCTATTTCAAGTTGAAAATGAAATTGAAACCTTGATCAGGAGCGGAGCTATCCGGTGCACTCCAGCACCACCTAATGTGAATCGCAACTCATTTCCAAATAATCAAAAACAGGGAGCTAACATGATCACGTTACATGAAGAATATGACCTGAAGGGAACAATTGTCACTATCGAAAAAGCAGAAGCCGCAAGGATCCCTCCACAAAAGGCTCCTATCATTACAGTACAACTAAAGGCTACAGTGACAGTTCAAGCTTATTCGCAACAACCTACCGATGCTGCTCAGGGTGAAGAAGATCGGGAATACAAAATTGTCCCATGGACCTATCAGCAAAAGGGAAAAGCATATATAACAGACTTTGTGGCAGCCCATGGTATGACTAGGTCTGGGAGATGCCATGCCCCTGAAGAGGTTAATCGAGGAAATCTGGGGAGAGAACAAATTCCAAGGAGGAACATAACATACCCAGAAACCGCAAAATTTTGGAAAAGGATGTCGAGTAAAGAGTATTCTGTGGAAGAACAGTTAAAGAAAACTCCAGCACAGATATCCATCATGGATCTATAGATGAGCTCCGATAGCCATAAGGATGTTTTGTTAAAAGTGTTAAGCGGGGTAAGTGTACCAAGTAACACCACCAGGGAGGCATTGGCCGCGATAATTGGGAAAATGGTAGAGGCAAATATGATCACTTCAGAAAAGACGAACTTCCTGTCGAAGGCGCAAGTCATAACAAGGCTCTTCACATCACCGTCAAAAGCGGGGACAAAGTGGTATCTTGAGTACTGGTCGATGGAGGATCAGGAGTCAACATTTGCCCGCTCTCCACCTTGCAAGAAGTTGGGAATTCATTTGAGGGAGGTCAAGGAAAGCAACGTAAAGGTGAGGGCCTTTGATGGTTCGCAAAAGGATGTTATTGGGGAAATTTACCTAGCCTTGAAAATCGGGACGGTCGACTTTTCAGTGTTATTTCAAGTGATGGACATCTCCTCTTCCTACAATTTTTTGCTGGGAAGGCCCTGGATACATATGGCAGGGTTCGTACCGTCTACCTTGCACCAATGCATAAAATTCGAGGAGGGATGCTAGGAGATCGTGGTCCACGGCGAGTGTGGTCACTCCACCTATTTGGAGTATGTTGTCCCATTTATTGAGGGACTAGAGGGAGTCGCCTTCCACGCCGTAGAAATCGTGCAGACTACTGAGGAGGAGAAAACTAAACAGAATCTGGGAATGCAATCACCGTACGAATCCAAGATGGCCATGAGGGAGATGATGAAATATGGATATAGGCCAGGAACAGGGTTGGGAGCCAAGTCAGATGGAATCACAGAGCCAATTGAACACAATGGGCAAAAAGGAAAGGCTGGCATACGATATCAGCCTTCGGAAGGGAAAATTTGCACTTTTAACTCCGGGAAAAAGGTTCTTGTGCCAGAGTATGTTGCAAGTTCGGGATAGAGTTCAACACTTGAAGATGATATCATCGACGGGATGGGAAAGTTGTTCGTGAATATGATTGAAGAATGTTATGAAGGAACTGACTTGACTATCAGGGATGCCGAATCAAGGGAAGAGCTATAAAATTGGACAGCCAGTCCATCTTTGGTTTATCGGTAGTCTTGGTAGTATGGAACTATAAAAGTTTATTTTGAAAGGGCACACTCAATTGAGGCTTGCACCGTGTTTGTACCTTTTTTGTCATTTGCCTCTTGTGAACACTCAAAACGTTCCTTTTTGATGAAATAAAAAAAGAATCTTTTCCTAAATATCACAACATTATTTTACTGCTTTATTTATACCTAGCTTCTCTTTTCAGTAATCAAATCGATAAAAAACCACGTTCCGCGAATATGGCATGTAACGAAACCGCTAAGTGCAACAATCCGGATGACGAGGAATATGACGAGAGTATGATGCCAGACAATCTCCCGCAGGAGATCGAACAAGTGGAGAGTCAGAAGAAGCCAAACCTCGAAGAAACAGAAGTAGTCAATCTTGGAAGCGATGAAGACGTGAAAGAAACCAGACCCAGCTTTCACCTAGAAGCCGAGCAGAAGGAAAAAATGATTGAGCTCCTCCAACAATACGTCGACGTGTTCGCATGGTACTATGATGACATGCTAGGATTAAGCACCGATATTGTCTCGCATCGACTACCCACTAAACCTACCAGACTGTCGGTCAAGCAGAAACCCAGAAAGTTCAAACATGATTTAAGCCTAAGGATAAAGGAAGAAGTGACCAAACAGATAAAAGCAAATGTAGTAAGGGTCACCAACTATCCAAGTTGGCTGGAAAACATTGTCCTAGTGGCCAAAAAGGATAGAAAGATCATAATATGTGTGGATTACCGGGATCTTAACAAAGCTAGTCCAGAGGACAATTTCCCCTTGCCAAATATCCACATTCTCATCAATAACTATGCGAAGCATGAACTGTAGTCGTTTGTGGATTGTTTCGTTGGATACCACTAAATCTTAATGCACGAGGAAGACGTAGAGAAGACAACTTTCACCACACTTTGGGGAATCTACTATTACAGGGTTATGTCGTTCGATCTCAAGAAAGCAGGCGCCACCTACATGAGGGCCATGACAACCCTCTTTCATGACATGATTCATAAGGAGATTGAAGTGTATGTGGATAATGTCATCATAAAGTATCGAAAGAGTTCAGAGCACTTGGATGACTTGAGGAAATTTTTCGAACGCCTGCGAAGGTACAATTTGAAGTTGAACCCGGCAAAGTGCGCGTTCGGAGTCCCCACTGGAAAACTATTGGGTTTTATTGTGAGCAGGATAGAACTGGATCCATTAAAAATCAAGGCCATCTAGGAATTACCACCACCAAAAAGCAAGAAAGATATCATGACTTTTTCGGGAAGATTTAATTACATCATCCGTTTCATAGCCCAGTCCATAGTAATCTGTGAACCCATTTTTAAGCAGCTAAACAGGGATGTTGTCATGAAATGGACGGAGGAGTGCTAGGAAGCCTTTGAAAGAATCAAAGAGTATCTTTAAAATGCGCCAGTGCTAGTTCCTCCCTGAACAAGGGAAACCATTGTTGCTCTATTTGTACATTCTTGGACAATGCCTTCGGCTGTGTGTTGGGGCAACACGATGAAACTGGGAGAAAGTAGCACGTCATCTACTACTTAAGTAAGAAGTTCACACCATGCAAGTCCAAGTACACTTTGATAGAATGCACTTGTTGTGCTCTGACTTGGATTGCTCAAAAGCTAAGGCATTACATGTCAGCATACACCACGTATCTAATATCTTGGATCAACCCGCTCTAGTATATTTTTCAGAAGCTGATGCCTACCGGGAAGCTAGCTAAATGGAAAATTCTCCTCTGCAAATTTGACATTGTGTTTATAACTCAGAAGACTATTAAAGGAGAAGCTTTAGCCGACCACCTCGCCGAGAATCAAGTGGATGGGGATTATGAGCCACTTACCACGTATTTCCCCGATGAAGAAGTACTATTTGGCGGGGAAGATATTGTAGAATTATACATTGGGTAGAGGATGTTTTTCGATGGAGCGACAAACTTCAAAGGAGTCGGGATTAGGGAAGTCCTGATTTCAGAATCTGGACAACACTATCCATCATCGGCAAAGATAAGATTTCCTTGTACCAATAATATGGCTGAGTACGAGGCATGCATCCTTGGAATAAGAATGGCAATCGACATGAACATCAGAGAACTTTTGGTCATAGGATATTCCGATTTGCTGATCCACCATGTCCAAGGAGAATGGTCAACTAAGAATGTCAAAATACTATCGTACTTGTACTATGTGAAGGAGTTGTGCAAGAAATTCACAAAGATTGAGGTCAAACACATCCCTAAAATTCAGAACGAGTTTGCCGACGCCCTTGCGACCTTATCATCCATGATTCAGCATCCATACAAGAACTACATCGACCCCATCGAGGTAGAAATCAAGGATCAACATGTCTATAGCTTCCATGTGAATAAAGAGCCGAATGGTAAACCTTGGTATCACGATATCAAGAAGTTCCTCGTGACCCAGGAGTACCCAGAACATGCTACTAATGTCAAAATCGAGCCCTCAGGACGTTGGCAAACCATTTTTTCCTTAATGGGGAAGTCTTGAACAAGAGGACCCTAGACTTAGGTTTGTTGAGATGTGTAGACGCTGTCGAAGCAACTAGACTATTGGAAGAAATACATGTAGGGGTGTGCGGACCCCATATGAATAGGTTCATGTTAGCCAAGAAGATTCTAAGAGCTGGATACTTTTGGATGACTATGGAAAGCGCATCCGCTATGTGCAGAAGTGTCACCAGTGCCAGATTCATGGTGATTTCATCCGGGTTCCACCAGACGAGTTAAATGTAATGGATTCACCCTGGCCTTTCGCCACCTGGGGAATGGACGTGATAAGACCCATAAAGCATGTAGCATCAAACGGACATCATTTCATTTTGGTAACCATTGACTATTTTACCAACTGGGTCGAGGCATCTACTTACAAGGCCGTCATAAAGAAGGTAGTGGCGGATTTTGTCCGGAACAACATTGTTTGCAGATTTGGGATACTAGAGTCCATCATCACTGACAATGCCGATAACCTCTATGGGACCTCATGAGAGAAATCTGCGAGAAGTTCAGAATCGTCCACAACAATTCCACAGCTTACAGACCACAAATGAATGGAGCAGTCGAGGCAGCCAAGAAGAATATGAAGAGGATTTTACGAAAGATAGTGGACAGTCACAGACAATGGCACGAGAAGCTACCTTTCTCTTTATTAGGTTATTGAACTACCATGAGAACATCTACTGGGACAACGCCATACATGTTGGTATACAACATCGAAGTAGTGATACCCACAAAAGTCAAAATACCATCCTTAAGAGTCATTTAAGATGAAAATTAGGACGACGCAGAATGGATATGGGTCAGGCAAGAACAACTCATGCTCATTAACGAGAAAAGAATGGATGTCGTGTGTCATGGACAACTATACCATAATAGGATGGCTAATGCATTTAGCAAAAGAGTGAAGCCTCGCCAATTCGCACCAAGGCATTTGGTTCTAAAGAAAATCTTTCTACATCAAGAAGAGGCTAAAGGGAAGTTTGCACCAAATTGGCGAGGTCCTTACGTGGTCCACAGAGTACTGTCTGGTGGAGCTCTAATCTTAGCAGAAATGGATGGAAGAGTCAACACGAAGCCAACCAACTCGGACGCAATCAAGAGATACTACATCTGAAGACAGATAGAGTTAGGGTTTTAGATGTAACAGAACTACGTTCAACCTGACTTCCCACGGAGGGATACGTAGGCAACCCACGTAGGGATCAGTTTTTGTCTCCCTTTATTTTTTTAATAGAAAACCAAATATTCAGGAATTATGCCGACTTGATTTCTTCAGAAAGGAATATGTAGGCAATCCTCATCGGATTCAGTCGTCTTTTGTAACTGGACTACGTTCTAGCCTAATTCCACTCGGATACGTAGGTTGTCTGAGTCAGACTCGGCCATCATTTATCTCATTATTTTGTATCTATTGTAATTGAACTATGTTCCAACCTAATTCCAGTTGGATACGTAGGCTGCCTGAGTCAGGCTCGGTCGTTTCATCATATTGCATCATTATCCCATGAACTATAATTAGACCTGATTTCGTTTTGGATACGTAGGCAACCTGAAAGGGTTCGGTCATAACCTTAGGAAACCTTTATAATGTTAGCAATAATTAGGACGTAGTCGTAACAACATGTAGCCGCGTTGTTAGAGACATCACGGATGATCGACATCAACGGGACAATTCTCGAAGAGATACATTCGCGTGTGGAGAACCCTTCATAGCATGTCATAATCCGGAACGACGACGTTTGCCTTCAAGGAAACAAGTATTTTCGAAATATTTTCTAAAATTATATATGAAATAATCTGTTCCATCTATCCAACTCCATGGCGCAATCATGTCAAAGGCTGGGGTAAATCAATATCACGGTCGACACAAACCAACTTCTTCCCTACTAAGAAGTTTCCTTTCAGTGCAGGGTCAATAGGGAGTAAAGAATCGCTGGGACTGCACTGGGGCAAATGACGAATCCACTACTTGCCTAAGATTATCTCTCCTCCTTCTACTTTAAATTTTTGAGAACAGCTAAGGCTAACTCTTGAATTCTTTGCAGGCGCTTAGGAATAGACAACTGACACAGAAAATTTGTAAATAGCAAACCATCTGCTCAATCAATCAGAGCACCATGTACAAATTTCATGACGTCTTTGCTCATCGAAGTCCTGTAAATAGTAAACCATCGACTTAACCAACCAGAGCACCCTGTACAAATTGCACGTCGGCTTCCCCAATCAAAGTCTTGTATATAGCAAACCGTCAACTCAAATCAATCGGAGCGCTTTGGAAGAATCGAGTGTCAGCTTCCCCAATTGGAGCCTTGTATATAGAAAACTACAAACTTCGCCAACAAAAAGCAATCTGCAACACTGCTCCATCAATCACGGATGACAGAATGGACAATCGCAAACCTCGTCACCAATGTTGTAATAATCCGACTGGTCGTTTTGCTTTCTAGAACCCTGTTACCCTAAATAAGACTTCCCATACTTGCTTTTACTGATTTATGACTTGCGGGGATGGTTGGTTCGGGATTTGGAAAAGTTTGGGTTGAAATCGGAACACTTGGTTCCTTAAGGTTGGCTAAAAAGGGCAAGTTTGACTTCAGTCAATATTTTGAGTAAACGACCTCAAAAGGTGGGATTTGAAGGTTCCAATAGGTTCGTATGATGATTTCGGACTTGGGCGTATGTCTGGATCAGGTTTTGGATGATCCGGGAGCGTTTTGGCGCCTAATAGTGAAAGTTGATTCTTTAAGGATTTTGAAGTTCTTTAAATTTGGTTTGGGGCGGGTTTTTGTGATATCAAGGTCCGAACGGAATTTCAAGACCAGGAATAGTTCCATAATGTCATTTAAGACTTGCACGCGAAATTCGGTATCATTCCAAGTAGTATAAGTACGTTTCGGCACGTTGGAATTAGATTGAAGAACTTGAAGTTCAGAAGTTTGATTCAATTGGTTTTAGGGTGTGATTCTTAGTTCTAATGTTGTTTCGGGCGTTTTGAGGGTTCGAGCGAGTCCGTTTTATGATTCCAAACTTGTCGGTATGTTCGGGCGGGGCCCTTGGGACCCCGAGCGTCAATCAGACGAGGCTCAAGCTAAGTTGAAAATTTGAGAAGGAGCTGAAGCTCCAGTTGCTGTCATAACCGCACCTGCGGTTGGCCAGCCGCAGGTGTGAGCCCGCAGATGCTGCCCAAGGGGAGGAGCCCAGGTTCCGCAGATGCGGCTCCTCTTCCGCATAAGCGGAACCGCAGGAGCGGTCACCCATCCGTAGGTGCGGCCCTAGCTGGCCCGGCCCATTTCCGTAGAAGCGGACAATCGTCCGCAGATGAGGTCAACGCACCACAGGTGCGGAAATCGCTGAAGGCAGTGGCCTTTATTTAATACATGATTTTATCATTTTTGACTCATTTCACTCCATTCTTGGGCGATTTTGGAGCTTCTAAAGAGGAGATTTCAACCTAGCTTTGTGAGGTAAGTAATTTCTACTTAATGTGAGTTTAATGCATAGTTCATGGGTAGATTACAACATGTAAATTAGTGAAACTTACGGGTTTAGAGTAAAACCTAGGGTTTTGATAAAAATGAGATTTAACCACGAAATTTGTTATGGAATGTAGTAGATGTCATATTTTCTTGATCCTAAGGTTATGGGTAACAACTTTCTTCAAAAATTTCCGGATCCGGGCATGTGGGCCCGAGGATGAATTTTAGGAACCTTGCATTTAGGGTTGGGAAATTACTTTAATAGTTAGAATATGAACTCTTGCATATATTGACTAGTTCTTACCCCATTTGAATAGTTTTGGATCGTTTGGCTCCAATTTGAGGGTTTGAGCGCATTCTTGAGTTTAGAAGTAAGCTTTGGGGCAAGGTAAGTCTCTTTTCTAACCTTGTAAGAGGGAATTAAACCCTTAGGTGAATTAAATAAATGTATGTACCTATCTGTGGGGGCTACGTACGTACATATGACGAGAGTCCGTACATAGCTACTATTATGCTAATTGTCCGGGTAGTTTAGGACCGTATCATGCTATACTTGCAATGCTTGCGTCCTTACTTGATACTATAATCACTTAAGTCATGCTGGAAATTGGTAAAACAAATATAGGCGGCTATACTCACTTACTTAAGAATTTGTATGAATTACTTGACTATAAATGGGCAATGTGTGCTTTCTTGAAAATAAATTGTTAATTGTGGATCGGGCCGAGCGCCTCGGTAGTAAATAGATGCATCTATGATTTGCGCCATTCGACCCTCTGGCAGTGCACAATTTAATATTATATTAGACCGGGCCGTACGACCTCGGCATAATCTGTGCATGTTATTTATTTGGAGCTTCCCGTTATTTATACTGCTTAAATGCTTTGAAACGTATGTTGGTACATGATATGACTGAATTGACATGTTGTTTATGAAAGAATATCTTACTTCTCCCTGTTCTTAAACTGTCATTATTATTCATGTTATTCATGCTTAGCGTAACACTTAAAATATATTATTATTGGCCCTAGTGAGTGTCAAGTCGACCCCTCGTCACTACTTCTTCGAGGTTATACTGGATACTTACTGGGTACATATTGTTTATGTACTCATACTACATTTCTGTACTTAATTGTAAAGGATCTGAGGCAGGTGCATCGAGCTACCTGTCCGGCGCGCACTCCTGATACTTGATCGAGATTTCACGGTGAGCTGCCCCCTTTTGAGCCGTTCAACAACATGTCGCAGTCTCTCCTTTTGTTATTACTGTCTATTCTATTTCAGGCAGTAGGATAGTTATATCTTTTGTACACTCTACTAGTTGCCTCGTACTTGTGACACCAGATCCTGGCACACACATTAGTAGACTATTATTTTTGGATTGTAAAAATTATATTCATGATTTCCTCTAGTGGTTCTTGCATTGGTTGCCTTGAAATTTCATTAATTACTAAATGCTTAAATTTAAGTAAAATTTGTGGTTGGAAATTCTTAAATAAAAATGGAAATCACTAGG